AGATTGAATCACATTCTTTCCACACAGAAGTATTCAGCATTACCCCACTTAGCAGCCCAGTGAAGAGGTGTACTTCCATAGTAATCTTTTTCATGAACATCGGCACCTTTGTCGATGAGAAGTTGAACGATCTCCTTTCGACCTGGAAAATAATCGATAAATGAAATAGATTGAATCACATTCTTTCTACACAGAAGTATTCAGCATTACCTTTCTCAGCAGCCCAGTGAAGAGGTGTACTTCCATTGTCGTCTTTTTTATTAACATCTGCTTTGTTCTCGATGAGAAGTTGAACGATCTCCTTATTACCTGGAAAATAATGGATTAATGAAACCAATTAAATCAAATTTTTTCAACAAATAAGTATTCAGAGTTACCAAAACGAGCAGCGAAATGCAGAGCTGTTCCATCTCTCGATTTATGTGACCGTTTTGACAGAAATTCCAAAGCAAAGTCTTCTGAGAAGCTGTTGACTTTTTCTAATATTTTTTTCACAACTTCAGTTTTTTCATGTTCAATAGCTTCGTGTAAAATAGTGCCGTTGTCATCAATTGACAACAAAATCTGTTTTATTTGGAAGTTTTCTGTACTGCTAATTTTGATTTCATCTCCGCTACAAATTGCATTGACCAGATCCGGTCTTTTTTGTTCGATTTCATTGAAATTCTTTTGAATTTCATTCAATTTTTCATGCAATTTGGGCACTGATTCGTCAATTAATTCCAACATATTCTCAATACTGTCACGAACAACGTACAGTTGCGAAAATGCAGTAAATATCGCCAGATCTTCGAAAAATTCGTCATCGTCGATACCGGTTGTCAATGCTTCAACGATTTTATGAGATCCAGCACTCGTTTTATTTTTCGATAGTTTATACAAAGGATTCTCTCCACGTCTATCACTTCGTAATAACAACTTCTGTCGGATATCAGGATGCTGTCGAATACTATCCAATATTATATTGATGATCGACATGTCTCCTTTGATAAATGCACAATGTAATACATTTTGACCATCGCCATCGGTTTGTAGGAACAATTCCTTGAAAATTTTCTTATGCTTCTCATAAATTTTCCCATTGTCATCGCGAATACTTTTTAAGAACAGCTCACAAATGCCATGACAACCATTTTCGATGATGTGCACAAAAAATGGGCGGCTACCCTTGTTTGTGAACTTTGAAATTGACTCCATTGCAGCATCCGTCAATTTGATTTGTTTTTTGCTTTCGGGGAGTTCAATTTGATCATTGAAAAACTGACAAATGCGCCCATAGCTATCGTCTCTAAAGATTTTACTGAACAATAATTTCTGTACTGCTTTGTTGCTCATATTCTTGATCAAATACCGACTGAAATAATATTCATTGAAGCTTCGGTGAATGAAATCCAAACCACTTCCCTTTGAAATTAATAGTCCAGTTCCGGTTAAAAAATTTCTTTTCTCCATTGATTCTGGTGTTTCGTTTGCCAGTAGTTCCAGGTCTTCCAAGCTCGGCAGTGATTCATCATTTGGAAAGAAGATTTTAACGGATAATTTCATACAAATGTCATGGAAAAAATATTTGGCCATTACACTCTCGCAGTTTGCTTGTACAACTTTTAAATCCTTTTTAACTTTTTCTTTGGAATGAATATCAAGTTTGATTTCGATAAACTGATGGTATAAATTGAAGTTACTACTTTTTTCGGGCAAACGGAATTTCGTTCCCAATGCAACAACGGCCAACATTTCCAAGAGTAGCGGAACCGCTGTAAATTTTTCGTTTTCATCGCCAATAACACGATTCCATTTATTGAGTAATTCACCTCCTAATGTGGAGAAATTAAATGCATTTATAGCTTCTAGGCGCTGCCCAGATTCTAATGTAATGTTCAGATGATTCAATATTTCTTGACAGTTCGATGGATTTTCTTCTGCCATTTTCGTTAACTTCCATTTCCAATATTTGTCCAAAAATTGCTTTTGTTTTTCTGTGGTCAACGGATTCAACTTGTAAGCAAGTGACCCGAGCTCTTTTTGCAAATGGTCTTGTTCATGAGCTCGAGTCGTGACCCAAATTTGTGCAACGTTGCTTTCCTTCAGTTTCCTAATTAGATGTGAAGTGTTGGACTCGTAGTCCGGGCAAATTTCATCGAACCCATCGAACATTAGAACAATTTTGGGCTTCTTCAAATTCGATCCAACTTCGTTTTTTTTAAGACTTGATTCGAAAAGCGTTCGTTGTATTTTGATATCGATATTCTTCGTTGCATCTCCGGGGATTGCCATTTTCGCAACAAAGTCTATAGTTCTATCAACATCATTTTCCGTAAATTTGTAGTTACTCAAATCATTGGCATAATCATTCACATTGATTCGCACAATCCATTTGACTTCATTTTCATTCTTCTTGTTATCGTTTAATTCTCTCATCTTTTTAGCCATACTAGTCAACACCGTAGATTTACCCATTCCGGGTTCATTTGCTAGTATAACGACTTTGCTTCCGAACTGTTTCACGTTACAGAAATGATGTTCATCTGGAACCACCTCTTTCGATTCAGATTCAAATTCAGATTTCGATGGAGCCACATCCTTATCAATACTCTCGGTGATGAGTGAAATATCACCGCTAGATAATTTCCAGAATAGGCTCGTGCCTTGATGCAATTCCAACCAATGCGCATTTTTCGCAAGTTTGCGAAATATTTTATAGAGCTCTTCATCACTTTTAACTGGTGGGGGAAGAATAATCCCTTTGTCCCATTTCGTATATTGTACATATTCGTCAGTCCATTGGACGATACTCTCTCTTGGAGTTGCAATTTCGAGTAAATCTCTTTTCAAAGTGGCCAAATCTTCTTTCTTCGTTGAAGTAATGAAAAATAACTGATCTTTTTTTTTGAGAATGTCATTTTTGATTATCTGACGATGAAATGTTCTCTCGATGTAATAATCTTCCACGTAGCCATTGGAAGAGAATGCATTTATGTTGCCTATCTTCAATTGATTCCCATTCAAAAGTCTCGCGAGGCTTTCTTCGTCAAAGAATTTCGGACCATAATTTCTATCGATGAGTCGATTTAAGCTCATGGTTGTTCCTTGGGAATTGACTTCCGTTTTAAGTACCACGTTTTGGGATTCGTCATCTAAATCGTTGAATGAAGTGGTGTCGTGATAATTCAAACTCATATCTTTGAGTTCTAAATTTTGACTGATCAAAATGATTTTTTTCTCGTTTGATTCTATTCCAGTCAATAGTCCACGGAGAATATTTTCGACTTGCGCATGAATTGAAGCGAGTGTTTTTTCATCGTGATTATCATCGTCTTCAAAGTCTATCACCAACAGATTGTGGCTTCTATGTTTTCTAAAAGCGTCGAAAATGTAATTTTGCAGTCCATCACGTAATAGTGATGAGAATCGAATGAAAATTAAACTGTCTTTTTTCTTATAACTTTCATGATTTTCCAAAATCTGAAGCACTTTAATGGCGCTCAATCGCGTGGACTGAGTACAAAGGTAGAAAATTTGTTTGTTCTGTTTTTCTGGATCAAGGAATCCATTTAATGACAGTTTCAAGCAATTCAAAGTGTTTTCTCTGAAAAAAATGTTGTGTACCTTCAACTCTTCCGGATAGACCATACTCAAGCCAGAGGTGAGCAAACCGTCGATTGCGCTCGCTATTTTCTCTTCAAACGCAGCTGCTCCTTCTTCGGTGTAAAAGTCATTCTCTCCCTCGTTGCAAGTCATGATCTCGAGCATTCTCTTCTCGAACGAAGCACTCACCAAATCAGCATTCAACAATTTGAACGTTTCACCCAATTTACTCTTATTGAAATCGCCTAGCTTCTCTTTGTTCGGGAAGTTGGTGACAAATCGAAACTTCTTCACAAATTCGGCAAAGTATTCGTCAAACGCAACATCATTCAGTGCCACATCGATGATTGATAGTGCAGAAATGGTCATGCTTAGTTTCTTGTCTAAATCTTTAACACTGTTTATTTTAGTTGGGTCAATGAACTCTTTGAGATCTGTATCTCCTTCTATTATTGGTGTTACATGGCCCATATCCGTTATATTTCGAACCGTTTTTCTGAGGTCATTACATTTTGTCACTATAACACCAAGTTTGTGTTTGTCTTTTTCTAAAGATGCAGAATCGGTTTGATCTTCTTCGGATTTCTCCTTTTTTGCCTTCTTAAATGATTTGCCAATTGCTCCAGCTTTTTCTGTAATGTCTTTAGCACGATTTTCTAACTCATATTTAACTGCAGGAAATTTCGAAATTTCTTTCGATGCTAAAGCGCTGACCAATAAATTTCCTTTCATGAACCACTTGAGCTCATCATCGTTGGAAGAAAATTGGTATTTCTTTATTTCGAACCCTTCCATATACAGTAAATCATCTTGGTTCAAACGATTGACCTTAAGAAGCGCATTCCATTTCGTCGCTTGCTCGTCTTTTGCTTCACCTTCATCGAAGTTCGCATTCGTAACAATCGCAAAGTCGTTCAGTCTCTTCCCCATGAAATGTAAATTATTTTTAATTTTGATGAAAGACAGAAAATATTTCCGGATCCCAAATGGAGCGGAATCCGTTGTCGACTGTAAGTCGTTGCTTTTGATTTTTGCATCATCGTCGCGTTTATGTTTTGCTTGAACAAAGCTCCAACATCGTTCGTCTCCCACGGTGTGCTCCATCACAACATCGTCGAACTTTTCCGCCGCTTCCATTTCGGGTGCGAGTCGGAATTTGTGGCCCATTTTTCTCGCACGCTGTGCAACAAACATGATGAGCTTGAACTGGAATACAAACCCATGCATGGCCGAACCGGTTGAATAGTAGGTATTGTCAGCGTCTTGACGCTCATTCAGAGAGCTTGAGCTGGGACTTGAAATGAGGTTTTCTTCAGTTTCCCAGGAATCATTTCTTCCACTTTGTTCTCTTTGTTCATTTTTTGGTGGATGTGTTGCAGCGTCATTTGAAGTTCTTCTTCTTTTGCTATGAGATGTGCCGGGTCGACTTCTTTTCAACGATTCCTTGATTTGTTTCAAACTATCGCTATTCGGATTCGCATTCAGTTGGTATTCAACCAAATCTAAAGGAGTCTTTCCTTCGGCATTTTGAATGGTAGCATCTGCTCCATACTTGAGCAGTATATCAACGGCTTCCTTGTTGACATATTCGGCAGCAAAATGAAGAGCAGAATTACCACGTTCATTTTGAAAATTTACATCCAATGTCAATTTGTCATCGGACAAGACACCTTCGATATCTTCAGCTCGATTTTTCCGAGCGTCCGATAATAAGTCTTGTTGTTTATCGTCCAAAGCACTTTTGTAATCTCCCTTACGACTTTGAGATGTAGACATTTTTTGTCTAGTTTTTTTTATTGTCCAAAGTACTTGCTTGTTCCACACAAATTTTAATTTTCAAGGGAAAAAGAATTTCGGAAAAAGTCAAATATTTTGTTTCACAAAGTTACTCTGATATCATTCTTTCTATTTTTATCAATTTCAAGCCACAAAATCACTTCTTAGTAATTGGTGCATTAATACAAAAAGCGATAAAATACGCTCACTCGATTAATCATTTAATTCGTTCACATTCCACAAAATTTATTCACGCAACCAAAATTTGACATTTCTTTTTGCACAATTGTTGATTATTATTTCACAACGTTTTGCAACGAAGTTTTCTTCCGAATACGAAATTCCACAGACATACAGAAAATATGCGATGTAAGAATGAACGAACCGATCACTTTGACGCGATCGCAACGAATGAAATTAATCCAGACATTCTGCGTTGCTGCATATACAGCTGAGCTCTTGGACTCATAGCTGGCTATTTGTCGCAAGAATGACGCATCTTTATGTATATGGCATTTGCAATGGCACTGAGATGAGCGCGCTTCTCCTTCATGCAGTCGCGTATGGCGGGGAAGAAACGACGATCTATATACGAGTGTAACACGATGTGGGCTCGTGCTACGCGCACACAGTTCGTTGTTTGCTTGCTATACGTGACTGGAGGAGAATCGCGCGCAACTTAGTATATGCTAACGAAAGGCGGTGCGCGCTTATGTACACATGAATTCAAAGAAATTGTTTTTTATTCTCTTCTTTTATTCATTTCGATTCATTTTGACTAACGGAAATTTGAATTTTGGCTGAAACTACATTGACAACAAACAAACGAAGGAATTTCATGAACATTTTTTTCAGTCACTTATTGAAAGAATCATTTGAAATTGTTGACTTTTATTTCCTCGCAAGCCTTTTGAATGAGAGTCGTGAATGCCAAATAGCGATTTGCATCAGCGTTTTCCCCAATACGATGTACAAATAGGTGTGAAAATTCAGCTCCATGACGCCAGCCCCGCCCGGAATATTTTTTCAAGAAATTATAAATCTGAACCCGCCATCGTGTTCTACGCTATTTGTGCTAATTATTACTCGCTCCCCAGAATTTGTGCTGCAACTGGAGACGAGCACAAATTCGACAAAAATTGAAAAAATGCATTTTTCGTAGATTTGAAGATTTTGCGCCGACAATCAATTCCAAATGAAATTTTCAACATTTTCATAATCTGAAGGCTAATAATGAAAGGTCTTGACGTCCCCTAATTTGTGCCGTCGACTATACAATTCATGCTCTTACCCAGAGCGAGCACAAATTCGACAGAAATTGAAAAAAATGTATGAAAATCGATATCACAATGCAACATAGTTTAGGTAGGTCCATGTCATCTGCACCGCCCGAAAATGGTGTTGGTACTAATCGTCAACATTTTTGAAAAAGTAGATTTTTGGTATACATTCCCATGGCAAGTACATGAAATCGATTTTTTTTTCTCGTATGAATGTAGCTCTTTGACTCCTGTTCGGAAAAGTGAATCACTGTTTTACAATTGGGTCATGAAGTAAGTCACAATATTTGGTCTTAAAAATGTACATATATGGACTGGTAAATTGTTCAAGAGCACAGATGACTCTTATGTGATAACATACATCAGATTCTCAGTAATGTGGTCATAAATCAGTAATTTAATTTGAATAGAAACAAAAAGAATTTCATTCTGTAGACGGATCATCATTATAATTATAATTGTGCGACCCGTCTACTCAATATTTCTTCAGCGGTGTCGCATGCTCACCGCATCTCACGATGCGCATGCGACACCCGCTAATGACAATTATGGCACACAGTGCCCAATTTACGGTTTGAAGGTTAATATATGAATCACATAGAGAAGGCAAAATGTGCAAATTATTCATTGTATACGCTATTTACGCGTCAATATTTTATGGTTTTATGGTATTTTGGGAGATTTTTTGTCTGAAAAGACTCCCCTAATTTCGGCGAAAAAATACCTCTATAAACTCACCACAAACGAGGGCACCATCGCTAAAAAAAAGCTCATGCTAGTCTAAAATAAAATGATTCCATTCAAGTTGTAAGTACAAAGACTGGGTGTGTGTGTTTTTTTACATAGATTTTTGTTTTCATTGACTTTATTCATACATTATTCAATCTTTCCATTAATAATTTATTTGTTTGTTTGTTTTTTTGTCTGATAAGTAATAAAGTGGTTTGTTTGAGTCATTCCTCGTAAATCACCGTAAATGTTTTTTTGTTTTCTTTTATCATGACTAAGTGTATGTGTGCATTGGTTGTGTCAATCGAAAAATTAAATAACGAAAACATCGCTCGAAATTTCGGTAGAATGCAAATTCATGGATCGCGTCCCGTGCAGCTTTCAATCGCTAGACGTTGTTCGGTGTGAATAATATAATTCAAAACTATTTACCAATGGTGCAATTGTGTGTGTTTAATAAAATGATCGATTGAAGCGGTCTGACGGCCATAAATTTGCCGAATCGTATCGAAATGCCTAGCACGCGCACACGATGTACGCATTTGATTGACAACAACCAGAGAAGATGAATATCCCATTGAGAAAATGATCGGTTCATTTGCTTAAACTATCTGTTTTAATTTCAAATTTTGTTTGTTTGTGTGAAACAAAGTGGGAAAAGGGGGATAATATTATAATAAAATCATAGAATAGTTACAGTGTTTTCATCTCTCTCTGTGTCACATGTCGACTCTTACATATATATCTTTAATTAAGGTGCTAAACCATTGAATAGCTGATTGAAACCCAATTGTATGTTGGCAGGCTTCCATCCATCCATTTAACTAGGTAAAACTCAGGACTTGCGATTACGTGTTTTGTTTTTTTTTATAAATAATATCATTTGATACGAAACTAAAGTGATTTGTAAATAAATGGATTTTTTTTTTGTTTATTTTTTTCTTTTGTTAATTGAATTATTCAACATGGAACATTGTCATAAGTATTTTCATAAATATATTTTTTTAATTTTCTTTTCTTTCTTTCTTGTCGCTATTTTCTTCGACAAGAAACTAAAAAAAACACGTGAAAATGTTTGCTCCCCATCACACCACGGATGGATATCAAAATATATGCAATGGAAAAACATAAAATTCGTCTCAGAATTTTTGTGCAACGACTTCTTTTGGGTTTGCGTCGCATAACATTATGAGAAAATTTATGGTTCCCATTTCTTTTTCTTCTTATTTTGGTTTTTGGCCACTTGTTGTTGACAACGAAAAACAAAAACAATTGTTTGGTTTTTTTTCCTCTCTCTCTCTTATTAAAAGTAAAACCGGGTCTGATTATGCGTGAGTTACACATAATTCTTTTTACACCACATCGATCAGTTAAAGCTAAATCCCTTCTAAATTACGAAACATAACAACATAGATGATCTCTCTTTGTGTGTGTGTGTGAGTGAGAGTACTTTGTGTTCAATTACATGGTTCCATGATCTTTTCTTTTGGTTAAGATTTTTTTTAAACATTTTTTTCCTTTTGGCACAGTGGCCCAGATTAAAACAACTCCCTCTCATGAACATCGTAAATACTATTTAAGCGCTTCTCGATTTAAATTCATTCAATCATCCCGTTTTAGTTGTAAGTCAATTCAATTCACCATCAACATACCTTCGTGCTGACACTTTTGTCACTCAAAGCATGTAGCTTTCTTATAGAGACGAGAGTAAGTTCTCTTTCTTCTCTTTCTTTCCTTTTCTTTCTATTTTTCATTATTTTCCTTTAAGAAGAGGAAAGTTCGAGAGTAAGAAAGAACTCTTCCCATCCTTTCTCCCCTTCGAACTCTTCAAATCATAATAATCTACACTGACGGACTGAATTGTTTTAATCGAACAACTGATTGTGTTGCGAGTCGCGACTTGCGATCGATTCGATGAAAATCAAGATTGGACATATTTTCTTCCTCTCTTTCCTTCATCTCCTTAATAAGAATGTGTATATGTTTATGTTCAGCAGTTTTGTTCCGTGCATATAGGTGCATATGTGTGTCCAATATATTTATGTGGATTATTTGTATTTGGTTGTTGTTTTTGTGATGCGGAACTTGACGAATCAAGTCACATTTTATCATCATTACTTACTTATTGGTGAAATGAAAGAAAAAAAATATTAACGTAAATGTCATTTTATCGGCATTTTGTTTTAACACACTTTACATTAATTGTGCACATATTTCTGTATTTTATTTTTATTGTGTTGTATTTTTGTTGTTGTTTTGCAATTGATTGAATTCTTTTCACTTCATTTCATATTCACAAGTATACATTCTGCGTTATTCGCGATTTCCATGCACCGTGTATTCATTACACACCCATTGGCTACATTCGAGCTTGTTTCGAGTGAATTTGCTCTCTTACCCGATGAAAAACGTAAGAAATAGATTTGCTCAGAGAGATAGCGATCACTATCCGAATGGAATTTAGCCATGGATGGACTTGGAATTCGGAATTGAATATTTTCTTCAAACTAAAAGTCATAGGGAAAGTGCCACAATACATTTCAAATGTAAGTCATTTGACACATAGCAGTCAATGCCATCTCACACACGATTGAAAAAAGTTACTCGAAATATTCGATGATTCAATAAGTTGGTTTAGAGATGTCATTGGCTGTCTTTTGGTATTCCGGCAATATATTTATGCTAAAAGTAATGAACTTGTGTGGTGTGGTGGTTGTATGTGCATTGAGAAATAGGAATTCTAGGTGAATACAGTGTTAATAGATTGATTTTTAGATGCTTTTCTAGGAGGGTGTAGATTGAGTTGTCTATAGTTTTATAATGTAGTTGCTACCGTTCTGTTGCTGGCTAATTTTTCATGGGTTTTAATCGTTGACATAATGTCGTAGGTTCGGACGCGCAGGTAGCAATGCGATTGACATTGAATCGCAAGATTTTAAGGGTTATTTTATGTGATCTTCGTTTTTTGTGTCTCTCGCATAAGATGCAAAAGAGTAAGAGGGAGGGAGATTTGGATCAAGTTTAAAAAGATATGGTTCCAGATAGAGCAGACACGATTCGACCACCATCGACTCTCCTTTAACACCTAAGTTAACTCAGATCAATGCAGGCCGTCCATCGACCGTCAGTTGGCTCGATCCAACCCAAACCTTTCCCTGATCCTCTTTGCCAAATTTGTAGACAAAATTTTTTTGTATCGACTTAAGTGTATGGGCATTGGGCACCCACCCCAAATATTGATTTTAAAATCAATTCGCCCTCAAATTCACTCAATTGTCAATTATTGGCAATTACTAAAAGATTATTCCAATCCAATGCTTGGGCACCTCGCATCCGAACCTATCGATCATATTTTGGTCAACGAGCGCATTGAGCAAATTGCCGTGTCTATTATGTTCTCATTAAAATGTGTTTTATTATCTGAATGTTGTTGCAATAAGATGTCAAAACTTGAAATGGATGGTTGCTAAAGTGCAAAAGTCTAATTTGCCAAAAACTAGCCACAGTTGAATAGATTTGTTTATCGTCCGTATTTTGTTTGTTTTTTTAATTCATTTTTGTTAAATATCTCGATTTGAAATTCAATGCATTAAATTCGATTTTCGTGACTATATCCATATCATTTGTTGTTATTGTTGTTTGCCTAATGTGGTAGTAAATTTTTTATTCGTGTTTGTTTTGTTTCTGTCTCTCTCAAAAAAATGCATAATGTTTTGTTTTCTTGTATTTTTCTTTAATTTATTTTTTTTTGTTTCGTGTCGGTATTTAAAATAGGCACTGTGTTTAAGGCATCTACAGTGTGGAGGTATTGTATAAGTACTTTTTTTTATTCATCAAATTGTCAAATTCATTATTATTTTTTTTAAATATCCATTTCGCATGCGGTGTCGGTATCTCTTATAGTTCAAAAATATGGTTATTTTTTATGCGCTCGATTGTTTTTTCTCTTTGGTTTCGATCTAATTTCATTTCAATTTTTTCTCTTTGTTTTTGGTCTGATTTTCAATTTTATGTTAAATATTATCAAATATGCCGCGTAATTGATTGTTGATTTGCCATTGCTATATGTATATGAAATGGAAAGAAAAAACAATTTCTTTTGTCATTCGAATCGTACGGTATCCACAATGAGACTGTCTCTCTCTCTCCCTCTTTCGTTTGTTTTTCGGTTTATTTGGCGGGAAAATGCTCGGTTACTTTTGTGAGTGAGTTTTTCTCTTTCTGTGTGTGTGTGTATGTGTCTGTTTTGACCTACTTGTGTATAAAAGGTATTTAAAAAATTTCCCCATATAATTCGCAAAAAATAACCCACTCTTTTATACGTGTTTCTCTCTCTGTGTACAAGTACTGTTGTTTTTGGTTGGTTCTTCTGGTCTTAAATTATCTTTTTTTCTCATTCATTCGTATGCTGTTTCTAATCAACGGATTATGACTTAATCATGTGATGAGCACTATGAAAATGTGTATATTATACTAGCTAAAAGTAAAATATGATTTTTAAAAAATACGAATTCTTTGTTGTTTTTTTGTTCTTTCTTTTCATAAATTTTTTTTATACATCACACTTAATATTCAGTAGATACGCTAATTTAACAATAAATTTCCATTTTGTGAGTGTGTGTGTGATTTCGACGAATATGTGGGCTGTGGACAGGTGGATTACTGAATTCCGTTGAGTATTATTGGAGCATCATCTTCATTTCGTAAGAATGAAATTTTCTGATGAATTCCATCTTTGAACCAGTCAATGACAGATAGCTGGAGATAAAAGCCGACCATAGAAACTCATCAAGCTAAGATTGGGACATTTTGACATTGTGACGTGCCTTCCATACAAATTCATGATGGTATCAATGAATTGGTATGGATTCTATCGTGAATTTATATCGAGGTCACGCCACAATGTCAAAATGTCCCAATCTTGATGAGTTTCTATGCTCGGCATATATCCCCTGCTTTCTATCATTGACTGCTTTGAACCTTATGGAATCGATGTCTCCGACCACATCACCAGTCAAACAACGTCGACGGATTTACAGAATATTCTTTTTTCAACTGTTTTTTTTCTGTGCCTCATGAATTTTCGACTTTAGAAAGAGGTTCTCCAATATTTGTTCGTTTTTTTTTCCTTTTTATTGAAACATTTTTTTCTTCGAACTCATTTCATGAACGGATTACTTGTACTGTTTAGTTAACGTTTGCAAGTGATGACAATAATTTATCCAGTTTTTTCGAAGATTCAATTTGAGCTGATTTTCACTTTGGAGTGAGCTCTTCTTTTTATTCAAGCTCAAGGTAACCAAAATAGTGAGAAAAAAAATCATATTTTTATGGATTGTTGAATGGATCATTTTTCAAACAAATTAACCACGAAAATGATGGACACATTCGTCCATCTGTAAATATCTTGCTACTCTGTCATTAAATCGTGGCATTCACGTTGAATTCCCATCGCTTCTTTACTAAATAACAATGTAACTTCAATATCTATAGCTGAAACAACATCTGTAAACGTCAAATTCGATAGAACAAATGATCGTGCAAAGGCTCTCGTAAATTTGTGCCTAGAACGTTAAAGCAATCGACATTTCAATGCTTTCAAGTCAGTAGTCAGTAGAACGTCAATCCTGCTGATGAAATTGATGTTTTAGGCAAAAGCAACATAGGCGATTTCCGAAGGCCTTTGCACTGCAAACAATTCAAGCTCTTTGGTACCTGCAAGCGACTTTTAGGTCTGGCATATGTATGTCATCTTAACATTAAAGGAAGAATCTTATTCCCAAACGAAACCATCGATGACTGTTCTGATTATTCAAACAAACGATTTAAGCATTGAAACATACATTGTATTATTCGGTGAATGCCACTGAAAAAATATTCATACTTATTACAATTATTATGCGTGAGACGCATGGTCACTCATTTAGTGAGTGAGATGCATGCGGATGAGATGAAGCAAAGCGAAAGGGAAGCGCGCAACTAGAACATAGAGTGAATGGGTACTACGTATTTGTGTTTGTGTCCGTATTCTATCGACGGAGTGACGAAATGTATGAGCGCTATATCGTTCGTTCGTATGGAGTTGCCCGCTTCTCTTTCGCTTTATTTCGTCTCATCCGCGTGGGTCTCACTGACTAAATGAGTGGCCACGCGTCTCACGCACTAAATAAGTATGAATATTTTTTCAGTGGCATTCACCGAATATTGTATGCATTGAAATATAAATTGAATTGAATTTGACGATTTACAAAATTGAAATTCGGCTACAATTGACCTTTCCTGTATGCCATCGACGATCTATTTTTCTCAGAATGCAAAATCAAAAGAAAACGTTTATTGTGATCGTTTTGTGGGGCGTTCCCAGACCAATTTTGAATCATTGCTTTTGCAAATGGCTTTGGGTCATTTTGATTGACTTTGGGCCAATTTCGGTTCATTTAGATAGAATTTAAACGAATTTTTGACCATTTCAATGCCTATTCAAACCAATTGGTAGTTGGATGTTGTAATGCCAAAGAATTGTTGCTTCGTCATGCTCAACGACGGATAAGAATATAATTAAATGATTGTATTTGATTCCGATTGCCAATTGCCACTTGAGAAGAAAGAGAAGTGTCGCTTTGGATGAAATCAAATGAAAAACCCAAAAAATAGCAAACAAAATGAACCGAAAAAACTGAAAAAAAACCAAGAAAACAAAGAAAAGAAAAGAAAACGGCGTAAAATTTCGTATTTGGTTTTTTATTATCGTTTAGATTGCTACTGGCATTGAGCTAAAAAATAGTGTATGCATTGATTAAATAATATTGATCATACGCTATTCCGCTCGTCCGTCCAATAGTCCATTTTCATAATGTATATCAATTTTATACTCAGAAAAAAAATGATTTTTTTTAATTACAATTACAAAAAAAGAAGAGAAAAAAAATAATTATACGAATAAAACAAAGAAGTAAAAATAAAAATGTTAAACACTCTAAAAAAACATACGTTCTATATAAATTGAAAACTAAAGCATATCTTCAATCATGTGTGTGTATGGATGTTCGATTGGTGAATCGGTTGCATCGAGTTGTATCGTCTCGATGTGTGTGTGGTTGTGTTCACCACTCTAATGTTTTTCACTTCTTTTCGAATTTTTCTTTCTATTTAGCACGCTCAGAGAAGCCTACAATCTAGGTGTTTTTTTTTTCATCATCATCTAGAAACGAAATTATTTCTGCTTAAATATTGTAAACTGTTTGTTTCTTTCTCATTCTTTGATTGTAAACATTTTTCAATCAAATCGAATTAACTACTTATTAATATCCAAAACGTAAACTAAAACTTTTTAAAACGAAGACCGAAGAAATGACAAGCGACAAAAAAAAGAGAGAAAGAAAATTGAACATAATTGATTCGATAAAAACTAAACTAAACATTAGAAAAAAAAGATAATTGTGTGCAAAATCTCTTGTTGCACATAAGCCAAACATTGCACGACAATAAAAAAAAAAGAAGCAGAATAGCTTTGATAGAGTAGATTACAGGAATAAAAAGTGTTCGGTTTGTATTTCGGCTTGAATGCGCATCAACTGCAATATATTCATCTTTGCGCTGGTTTTGTGTGTGTGTGTGTGTGTGTGTGTCAAAAGATTGTAAATTGAAGATATTTTCATTTTACATCGGTTTTGAATTGAAGAAATTGTTCTTCTACTTTCTTTTTCATCTGTGGAAAACGAAGGGTTGTAAAATGGTGGCGCAATTTTTTTTTTCACCGTCCATTGTCAGTAGCTCAATTTTTTTTTTGGCATTTTTTGCTGAACTTGTGAACTGCATTTCTAGTTCGTTAAGTTCTAATTATTCCTGATTGCCGTCGTTGTCCCCCTCCTCCCACAAAAACTAAACGATTTCTTGCTAGAGTAAGATATAGAGAAGTGACAAGAGATCTGAGGTAATCACTTTGTTTGTTATTATTGTTGTTGTTGCTTGAAAATATCAACATATTGTGAAAAGAGAAAAAATATTGGTTTGGCTTTAAGCGTACCGTGTGTGTGTGTGTGTCCATTCATTTTGAATATTTCGTTGGTAATTAGAATTTAAAATCGTCTCTTTCTCATGGATGACTTCAATTGGTTCGAAAACGAAATGTTTGGAAAGACGAATCGAAACTTTTCTTGTGATCAATTCGTCGAATTGCATACGCTTGCAAGAAGAATTTCCTAAATCCGACTGAATAGTTGGGTTTTCCAACTTCTCCGCACTTTCAGCGTGGGAAAGCACTTCGTTTCTGTCTCATTTGCTGATTGTATACATTGGTTCGTCTTTCGAATTGAAGATCATTTGAATGGTTTGGAGCGAAAATGTAATACAGAAAAGTTGAGCGGAAAAATGTCAAATGAAAAGGGATAGCTATATAGTTCACTATAGTTTACTATACAGTTTACTATATAGCTATCTCTTTTCCGCTCAACTTTTCTGCATTACATTTTCGCTCCAAACCATTCATTTTTTGTTTCTTTTCAATTTTTATATGAATTTTTGCTTTTTCTGACGATTTTCCTACAGAATTTTTTTCACGATTTTCTTTCCAGGAATTTTCTTATGATTTTTTTCAATTTTCTTTCTGAAAAAAATCATTCTGATGATTTAAAAAAGTGACGATTTTGTTTGAGTTGTCGACGATTGCTTAGAATTTAGAGAATTGTATTCTAATTCTTCTGTGTTTATGTTTGTTTTTTTTTTTTTACTTCTTTCATTCGAATTGCAAAAGAAAATATTAACCAAATAATGACAAGAATATCTCGATTTCGGAAACGTCAACTGTTTTTGACTGTGATTGTGTTTTTTTTCGTGTTATTTACAAATTGGTCCAACATGCGACCGTTCATTATAATCTCCAAATTATGTTGCTATCCTAACAAAAACGAAACGTTTTTGGCGTGTATGTGTGTGTGTTCATGTGGTAGTTCCATCGGAACAAACTACATTTCAACACGTAATTCTATCAAAATGGGCTATACTTAACCGAATTCATTGAGAACCAAATCAATATGAAAACTACTTGCACCCTTGTGTGTATGTATGATCAATGATCAGCATTTGTAAATACAGGTAATATTGTACCGTTCGATATCTTCAGGTGATATGATCTCTTCAAAGTGATGTACCCTAGGAATAAATCTTTAAAATGGCCTGTAGGTGGAACCGATTACTATAACCGTTGGTATGAGTCATACCAATATACCAGGTCATACCGTATGACCTGTTGATATAACCCAACTCGGTGTAACCTGTCGACATCACCTGATGGTACCTTCATCTGACTATATTCACCTGACTTCTGTCCAGATGCTAACTTTCCACACCAAAAATGCACTGCTTATCAATATCCTGTATATTTTCAGTGTAAAACTGCATCACCCGATTGAAAATGGGTTCAAATTAATCGGTACAATATTAGCAATCCTTTACCGTTAGATATTTTTTAATATCCATTTGATGCATGTTCAATAAACAAAAGAAATGCATTCAAATGTCGAAATAAAACAATGACTGAATTTGCATTTAGTTCCCATCTAGAACTGCGTCTAGCCCATAAAATCCGACCTAAATCTAGTCGAATTTTAATAAAAGTAAGTACATTGCACTTGGTATGAGTTGTATGGCGCGTATTATAAGCAAAACAATTAGAGAAAATGGCGGAAAGTGAAGGAAAAGAAAAACCTGATCGTTTGGCAATAGAAAGCAAATGGTAATCATTGAGAACATGGCTTCGGTTACTCTATCGCATGCAAGTGTCAAAGACTCATTTGAGTGCAAAAGTTCTAATTTCCATCATAAAATGTAAAAAGGTACAAACTGCGTGTGTTGCTCAATGTGAAAACGTGGTTTGAAAATATCAAATGTTTCTGTCGACAATTTTTGTACCTTAACAAAAACCGGATAAATTGTCATTCACAGCACCGTTGCACCATAAACATTTATTCTTATTTTCCTATTCTTCTTTGCTAACAATTGAAAAGTTTATGAACAAATATTTCCTCTGCTCGTTTAGGTGTGTAAGTGAGTGATTGAGTGAGTGTGTGTACGTGTTTTTTTTTAAATCTAAAACCCATGATTGTTAATCCACATCATAACTATATACTTGTATATAATATATATATATTCAGTTATCGCCTCTCACGATAAATTTAATATCATAGATTCGTGCTCTCAGTAAAGGCTACGTTTTTTTTGTTATTTCTCTGTTTTTTAAATATATATATATATATATTCAATACGAATTTCAGTGCACTTGGATAAAGTTGCAATTATGTTCACGTCTCTCTTTTCTTACAATTCTTTCATGAATTTATTGGCATCTAGCTATTTAATCATATTTATCATCATCATCATTTTTTTGTGTTTGTTTTTATCATTTTTTTTTTTTCATCTGGTTTACAAAGTGCAAGTTTCATGGTACATATGAATATCCGTGTGAGTTTTTTTTTTAAGTTTTGTTTTCCATACATTTTTTTCATGTTTAAATGTTACATTTGTTTTTTGTTTACAATATAATTTGTTTGTAAATATATTCACATCAATAATTTGTTTGTTTGTTTGTTTCCATCATTTGTATGCCATTAAAACACCGTCACATAGAAAAACAAAAACGATAAACAATGCGATCGAAAAATCCAGTTGTGGCTTGATTGGAATTGATTTCGGGATGCATGTCTAAATTAGAAAATTATTGGTTTTGTATTCTTTTTTTTCGTCACACATACGAGAGTTCTGAGGTGTATACACAGCGTAGTGTGAATATGTTGGTGTATGTGCATCTAATTTAATTGTGAATTTCATTTCGGTTAGTTTCTTTTTTCCTCATTTCCCATGATTCAGATTGGATTTATTCCATCCTATACGCATCTCTTTGTAACCCTTCATCGTATTTTTTTCCTTCAATTTTTTTTTTACGTTAATCTTAAGATTAAGTTACTTATGTCTAAAAGGGCGGAAGTTGATACAATCGTTTGTTTGTGTGTCGGTTTTTTTTCCCTACATCTCTCTATCTCTCCCGAAGGAGAGATGAGACTCCTTCTCAATTATCGGCTTCAATGGCTGCCTTTTTTACAGACATTTCTAGGTAACAATGTTATCCCTTTCTTAACAACTAAAACAATAAAACGCTTTCGCTGCAGCTTACTTTAGGTCCAGGCTAGACTGGGACTACTTTCAATCAACGATCGCATGATGATCAAGGATCTTGATCCAAGGTCAACTCAATCCGATCGATTTTTTTTTTCTTCGTTTGAAGAACAGATCGGGAAAAATACACAAAGAAAAAAAAAATAAGAAGAAAATTGATCGAAGAAAAATTAACTGAACTTTTTTTATTTTGAGAAAATCTTTAGGAAAAAATATTGAAGAAAATGAGAACAATTTGATATATCAATTTAATATATTTGATTTGAACAAAAACTTGATGAAATTAGTGAAGAAATTTTGAAACGTAGAGAAAATTACTGAGAAATTTGAAACAAAAATGTTGGAAAAAAAATTTGATGAAGAAAAAAAATCAAATTTGAAGAAAAATCTGCTCAAGCATTGATTGACAAGAAGAAAGTGAAATTAAAAAAAAAAAACAATCCGATGCAAAGGAGCCTGCGGCCGATGACTAAATCTGGCCGATGAAACTGAAACTTTCAGCTCGGCACCATTGATCAATCGGTAGATTGAAGCTAAGATTTGGATTTTGCGTGAAACGACTGAAAATCGGATGAAAGCAAAAAAGTAAAGGAAAATCGAAAGAAACAAATTGAAAGAGAATGAGATTAAGAGAAAAGTTAGGGGAAAATTGAAAGAAGAAAAAATAGAGAAATTTCGAAGGCATTGGTTTGAATCGATAGAAAAATACTTTGAACAAAAAGAATCGATTTAAAAAAAAAACGTCTTAAAAATGAGATATAGTTCAATTTACAATGAGTTTTTAATCGGTTGAAAAGCACAAAATAGTCGTAGGAAGAGTGGCACATAAGTTCAATAGGTAAAGTGTTTTTTTCTTCTTCTTTAGGGTTTATTTTTCATGTTAAAGCTTATCAATTTCGTCACGGCTTTCACATAGTTTCACGTACGGCACGGCTTGCATTCTCACATGTATTCTTTACTGTCATTCAATCTATCTCACATTTTAAATATATTTATCTAAATATCATATCTATTGAGATGTTAGTTGGCATTGGTTGCTGGGGGCGTTAACCTTGTGTGAATCGCCAAAGATCAGTTGGTTGAATTAACGATCTTTATTTTATTGACACCGCCAAATGCGATCTTATGGTACAAATTTTTATCTTTCCCCTTTTCTTCTCTTTAGCATTTTTTCAGCTTTTTAGCACCGTATATCCGATGCAGGGCTATTGTTCTTATTTTTCCGCCCTTGTTCGCTTTGAAATTGTTTCCCGTCGCTTGAAGATTGTCGCCCATCATCAATTCAATTCACACAATTGCCTCCTAATTCTCTGCCACATTCTTGCCTCGAAAATAATCTCCTAAAATGATGCATTCACTCTCTCTCCTCTTTCTCTCTCTTTCTCTTTCTCTTTCTCTATCGACCATCGAAACAGAAGCAATTCATGACTCGATTTCATTTTGAAAAATATAAGTTAAAAATTGTCTCTTATTTATATTCTCTGTACAAAATGTTGCGTGAGAGAGAAAAACAAGACGTCTTGATTTTCCTAAAAGGTATGTGTACACAGTTCGGTCAACTTAGGATTTTCGACTTTTAAACCGATTAATTGGCACTATTTGCACGTGATTGGCACTCTGCTTGATCCATCCATTCCCCCCACGCATCATCATCGAAAGAGAGAAATAATTTCGATCGAAGAAAATTGAGAGAAATGATTTCGTTCAACTTAAAATTGAGCTCAAATCAGAGCCAAATACACCATTTTCCAGTAGATCATTAAACTTGAATCTTAATCGGTATCCTACTGGCAAAAACGTTCTTTTCGCGTACGTCTCTCACACCAGAATCTAATTCAACCAATGGTAAATGTGATTTGGTATCAAAATTCATTGTATGTTGAATCTGGCTGAGGCGGCAGAGCTCAACGACAGCAGAGAATGGACAGATTGAGAAGTGTACGCACACATTTTGGTATTCACATCATAAGTTGTACAAAGACCGTGGACTATGCTACGAAAACAAAAAAAAAAACAATGATTTCTCTTTTTATTTATTTTGCTCTAAAAAAAAATAAAACAACACCACTTTTTGAATCTTGGTTACATTTAATAAATCAATGGACCCATCCCATATCCCTCGAACAATATCTCTGGTTCAGGTAAAAGTGTTTTCTTTTGTCGTTTTGTCTGACAAAAAGAAGAAATGAAATTTTCAGGCGATTTTTTCCACAATAAGCTCTCAAAAAATGAATGCGCATGGAGATATGGTCAAACATGGTTCGAAAAACATTGGAACCGTACCTCATCATCGCATCACTAAACTACTGTCTTTACTAAAAAAAAATAATCAGTTTTGGTTGGTTAGTGGTTGTTCTCTCTTTTCATCGTCTCTCTATTTGTCTATAACATGCATTTAATAATACATTTTTTGGCCCACACGCGTGCATTATCTCCATTCGTAATTCGGATTTACCATGTTCGCTCAACCAGCTTTTTCTTCTATCGGTTTTACACTACAAAAAATCCACTTGACTTGGTCAATCCATTTCCGTATTTATACATAGATTTTCTTAAAATGTGTTTTCATTTCTTACATTTTTTTTTCATCTTCTTCTTAGTTTGTCATTTAACGTGTATACACATAAGGACTTATTTCTGCCATCATACCTAATAAAAAAAATGATTATTTTTTTGTAGTTTTTTTTTTCTTCTTCTCAATAATAATAGTGACAAAATTTCCACAAACAATAACAATTTTTTTCTGTGTCAATATTTTTTTTTTCTTACTTTGATAATTATAAGCTAAATTAGATGTTCTTTACTTTTCTCTCACGTATTCAGAAAGGAAAATGAAAATGTATCGCGTGGCTGTTTGAACTGTTCGGCCAAATTTGTTGTTTGTTTTTTTTTCGGGAAAAAAAGAAAACGATTTTGAAAACAAAACAAAAGAAATAAATACAAAATCGATTGAAAGACGGGGATATTCTCATCAAGATCGAGGCTGAAGTGAATAAAATAGATTTGTGTGTATGTTTAAGTGTATTTTTGTGTATTTGCCCCCGTTCACAGTGTGTTTGCGAATAAGACGAAAAATCACATACGTTAAGCTCGTTTTTGTAGAATATTTACATCGTGATTTCGAGTGCGCATCGAAATCAATTGATGTATGGTTGTTTTTACTTCGTTTCTTCTTATTCTTTTTTTTTTGGTTTTTGTCAATCGTCTGTTGCTCTCTTGTCGAACCATCGTTTATTTCATCATCAAGTATTCTCTTGACTCGCATTTCACCCTATCCCATGACTCAGTTTTTTTTTTGTATCCTCTATTTACGTATGTGTGTTTATCTAGTGCACGCTATGGCCTAAGAAGGATTCGTGTGAATATCTATATAATATTTATCATTTTTTTCAGCATTTTTTCTCTTTTTAAAATCAAGTGATTTTAGCGTGTGTGTGTGTGTGTGGTTGTGAGAGAGTGTGTATGTGAGTTTAGATGTTTGGCGTGGCTTAGTGTATGTTTTATAGAATTTTTTCCATTACGATTGGTTTTGTTTGTTTGACAGCAAAATGAATTTCTGATTTCTCTTATGAATTAACTTAGCAAAATAAGTGTTTGTTTGTTTCTTTCTATCTCTTTCTTTCTCTTCTTTTTTTTTACATTTAAAACGTAGGTCTCAGCGAAAAGAAAAAAAACATTAACAACCATTACAAATAATAGTAAGATTTTCCATCTTTTCACGCATACGATTGGTAATTCCATTTTTTTTACGCTGTTGCATTTCTCTCGTTCTTTTCTTTTAATTATAATTTAAATGTGTAATTTTGGTAATGATAAAACTCTCTGTGTGTTTTTTTTTTAATTGTTGTTTTTCTTTTTTTTTCTCTTTTTCTTATCAGCTTCAAATTGATTTATGTATGATCTTGTTTTACACGGTTGTCACGATTTTTTTCACCCTGCTGCTGCTGCTACTATGACTGTACTCCCGAATTGTTCTCTCGATCTCTTTGTTGTACGGCTGTTTTTGATGCTTAAAAACTTGGACAGCGAGATGTAACACCGTTGCAAACGAACAGTGAACAATAGAGTGACTTTTCTTCTTCTTATGCATCAACGTTGATTGGTTTTTGGTTTTTTCTTCGTTTTACTTTTTGTCTGCGACGAAAATACATACGCATTTTCACACATCTGGTTGGTTGGGTTTTTACTTTGTTGTTGCTAGCAAACATATTGCACGGAACTTCCTCTTCTTTCTCATCCTCATCCTCCTCCTCCTCTTCTTCACTTCACTTGTTTGCTACGGTTTACACGCATTTTGTCATAGTTGGTCATAGTTGATCGGATGTTGACCAGCCCTCCGATATTCGCGGCCTTTTGTGGCTCTGATTCGGCGAATCATAATCTTGTAGGTGAGCGCTGTTATTGTGCCGATGCAAGTCACTCGGTGATGATACATTCGTCGGTGTCACAGATCCTGAAGGAAAAGTGGAAAAAATTGGGACAAATTGATTTAGGGAGAGAGGTAAATCCACATTGCAATGGATAAATCAAGTATTGATTGAATGTGACTTTTAGACTTGAGCAATTTTCGAGTGAAATTAACTTTTTCGATCATTTTTCGGTTTGATTTAAATCAATTTCATTCGAAATATTTTGTTTTCGTAATTTAAAAAAGAAAAATTGGTCGAACTTTTACCCTGTTTTGAATGAAATTATTAAGATTGTTTTGGGCAAACAATTCATTTTATGTGAAAAATTAATTCGAAATGTGACGAAAAAAAAGAGACGAGAATCGAGTAATTTTGAGTATTTTGCTCGGAATTTTATCTCTGGCAAAGTTTTTCTCCCAGGAAAATTATTTCGAAAAAGTTATATCTTTGGCTCAAAAGTTGATTTTCAATATGTTTTCACGTGTTTCACTCGAAAAACAAGTTTAAAATACACTTCGCATTTTTATCGGAAAATACGCATCGTTTTTATAAATCTATAGGAACTTTAATCACGGTTTAGGGTAGGTGTTGATGCATATTTTCCCATCACAATTTCTTTAAAAATGAATAAAAGTTGTTGTTTTTCTAACCGAAATAAGGCCTACCTGGTGTCGGTGTCAAATGACCACCCGTCGAATTTGGCCTTGAACTCATGATCAGATGCTGTTGCGGATGATTTAATACGCTCGAATTTGATGTGGCATTATTCATCGTTGTTATCGATAGACTAGCTGAGCTTTGAGTGTGCGCCAAGTGATGATCCCGCGGTGGTGACACCGGTTCCGATTTTACTTTGATTGCTATTGGTGATGTACTTGGGGGCGGCGTACTATTTGATACAGCCAGATGAGACAAACTAATTTTGCCGCAACGGATCGAGAGGAAAAAATAATTCGATTAAATCAAGGTTTTGATATCAGGTTTCATAAGTTTATTCTTCAATTTCATTTATTCGATTTGTCAACCGATGTTAATTATTGTCAATTTACCGTTCATGAAAACGGTTTCTTCATTTTTAAAGCTTTTATATACAACTATATGATTTGCTATTGGATTATGATCAAAATTAGCTCAAATTTGTTTAAAATCCAATTGCTTTTGAAAGAAAATGAAGAAAATTTTCTGACTTTCCTTCCTTCATTTTCTTCCAAAATTTTGGCCTCGTCGAAGAATTAATACGATTCAAAACAGACTCAATAATTATTGATTATAATAATGAATTAGTTTAATCCAACCAATAATTCCCGTATTTGAGGGTAATTTTTGATCAAGGTCTGTGGTTTTCTCCACAAAACCAAACCGATTTATTTTTTAAAAAAAACATGTTCATTCTTCACTCACTTTGTATGATGTAAATTGCTGATATTTTGGTGATTCCAATTCGATAAGCTCATAACATCGGTTGAATTAATAGAAAAATCCTGAGCTCCAAATGAGCTTAACGCTGGATATGATAGTCCCGTAATGCCTGGCGTCTGTAACGCAACAACAGGAGTATTTATGGATGATTGTTGCCGATGCTATGTGTTGAAGAGAGAGAGAGAGAGGGAGGAAAAAAATGGAGAATTTTATATTATTCAATTGGATGAAATGTAATTATCTGGGAAAATTTCGGATCTTGTTCGCCATAGAGTAGATTGATGTGAATGACTAACCTCATTGTACGTAATCTCATCATTGGCCTGCAATCCAGAATTGTTCATTGATCCGGGTATCACGACCCTCAGACTGGAGTTGCGCACCGCTTGCCCACCGGGAGAATGCTGTCGATGACCGATGTGATGCGAAGCTGAAATTATTTCAATTTTCATCATTTTAGCTACGAAAATTCCACACGTTTCAAATAACCAATGTTTGGTTTTCGATATGAATAAATTCGCTTTTCTATATGATGCTAATGGTATCGATCGGATCGGTGGATTTTGAACAATATTTAATTTTGAAATTAAATGTTTCGAACGAAAGCGCAGTTCCCACAAAACCACAAAAAACACGTGATCGCCCCAAAGTATGGCATCGCTAATAAATGTCATCGACCAATATTATTGAAGTGGTGATTTTTTGTGGCTTTGTGACAGACCGTGTATGCCCGACATAATATGTCGTCTATCGCCATAACCGCCGATCGATTTTTTTTTTACTTTGTTTTCGTTTCCATCAACCGACTTTTATGTAATTTCGTTTAAAACTTGATTTTCTTTCTCATTACAAAGGATTAAAATGTCAGATTTGATATTGGCTTTCATATACGTGATACTAACATTTGCTATGATGTACGCCCATATTTGGGCTTTGTCCTGGACTCGGCGATCCACCAAGGGGTGATGCTGAATTTGGATATCCATTCGACATGTCAAGCATCGAATTTGTTTGATAAACTAAATGAATACGAAGAATATGGGAAAGAGAAAGTCGGGTTTAAGTTTATGGCGGTCTTCATCGTAAATCTAGCACCAAATGAATTTTTCATTTGATTACGACCATATAGGTCGAACCAAAAAAATACTATTTATTTGTTTAGACCAAACAGTTTGGTCAAAAGTTTTGACACAAAACCAAACAATTTAAACTCAACCTTAAACTAGGTAGGAAAAACATTTTTAAACTGTCGTCTTGAAATTACCTGAATCCGTTTCCGAGCTGGATGGTCTTGGGCTGATGTTTGTGTGTGCCATTTGTGGGCTGGCCTGTAGCATGCCCGATTCACCATAATTGGCGGTAATTGGCACAGTGACTGGAAGTGTATAGTTGGCTCCCGATATAGCAACACGTTGCTGCTGATTTCGTTGCATCATCATCTGAAAGTCCTCATCGATTTTATTGTATTTGGCCTCAGTTCGAGGTGTCAACGTGTAATCAGCTTCTGGTTCCGGTGAATCCGGTGACATCACACCATTTTTATGCTCCTTCTAAAACACCCAAAATGAACGATATAAAATGCACATGTTTATTTTACAATTAGTTTACTGGCGCTTTTTGCTTGGGTACATTTAACAGGGAAATCACATTTAAGTGCAAAAATTGAAAAAGTATAAAAATCGTCTAAAAACATTGAAATGTACAAAGATCGTCTAACAAAAATTTAAACAGAAAATTGGATGAAATTCTCAACAAAAGCATGGGGCTGCCGTCTAGAACATTAGATAATAGAAACTTTTATGTAGAAATGGTATTCAAAATAAAAAAAAAAACAAAAAAAAAATGATTTCAAATCTAAGTTCTTTAATTGAAAAAAAAGAACAGATTTCATTTTACCGCTCGTCATTGGATTTCGAGTCTCTTTTGGCGAAGCATTTTCATTTTCGCCACTATTAATTGAATCATTTGGGAATCGACCATTTCCGAGCGATAAAATGTGTTTAAAATACAGAAAAAAAGTGATTGTTGCTCTTTTAAATTCCAGCAAATGAAAATTGTTTGAATGTCAATGGTAAAAAAGAAAAAAAAAACATGTGTGAGAGAGTAGGAGAGAACGAGATAGCATGTAGCATTGAGCATATATTCAACTTACCTCAATAATGTTTTTGTTTGTTAGACTTTCGTGCGGTTCATTGTATTCTGTATACTTCAGTAGCACTTTATCCATATCTGTACTGGCATATTGATACAATTTATTACTGCTAGAAAATATTATTAATGCTATTTCACAGTCGCATAGCACGGACAATTCGTACGCTTTCTTCATAACACCGAATTTACGTTTGTTGAAGGTGACCTGGTAATCGATCAAATAAATAGCGGCAGAGCAGCACATACACATGCAGTACATAAAAGGAGAGAGAGAGATAGAAAAACAGACTCGAATGATAAATACATCATAATTGGTGAAGGTTCGAGCTCCAAAATTTATCAAATTGCTTAGTGCTAAACACATTATTCGATTCATCCATTTGTTTGGTGTCATTTAGAATGCATCAATTTAAGCGTATCGTGCTAGCTGCACGCTTTGTGTCCGGTGTGTCCGTCAAACGTGTTTAAACCGTCGCCCGTGCAGTTCACTCATCGATCCTTGGCCACGAACACACACACACAAATCGCTACAAATTTTCGGTCATCACGCATTTTGAACGCTACCAATCAAACTTTGGACTATCGAATGATTCAATTCGTATATGTATCAAAATTGAATATGAGCGATGGCTTACCTGTCGGTTCCGTTCATCCGTAATTCGGGATATTTGAATTTTCTTTCTACCCATGGTTGTAACGTCAACAAATTTAACTAAATAATTATCGAATTTTGTAGTTTTTTCTTCTCCTCGATTGAAAATGCCTTAACTAAAAAGTTCCTTTCAATTTGGGTTGAATTGTCTCTAAATTGTTGATTTGCCTGTGAATTTGTTTGGCATTTAATTGCAACACTGTTTTTATTTCACTTGTTTATATCCGCCTAAGTTCACTCGTTAATTAATTTCCCGTTCGGTTTTCGGTGATTATTTTCCGCTGTTTTTTTTTTAAATGTTAGAAGCTCAAAATTTACTCGTCTAATAATTGACTATACTTTATTCATTTTCCGCTGTAAAATTCTCACAGTGTGTGTATGGGTTTTTCAGCTCGGAATTTTTTTTTTCTTTACTTCTGATCCAACAACGCTGTCCCAATGTTGAAAATGTTGCTCTTAAAAAACCAGACCAGGTCAACGCCTATGTTTTAGCACCATCATTTACTTCACCGAACTTCTAACTGAAATGAGGAAAGAAAAATTGTCCTTATTATTTCAATTGTTTTCTTTCTGTGTGCGCGAGGTCCGCGTGTTGCGGCACTTTTTCAATTTTTTTTTTATGTGTGCATGGCAGATGCAAATTATGAAACAGCGTCCGATGTTTAATTACTATACAAAATATGCAGTTTTCCAGAGAGAAGAGAGAGAGGGAGAGAGAGAGAAAAACAGAGAAAAAACACCTAGAGAGCGGGAACAAGAGAGTAAAAGGAGCGAAAGAGTGAGAGTAAAGCGAGACTGAGCACGAGGGAAAAGTTGAGAGAGCGACAGAGAATAAGAGGTAAAAAAGACAGAGAAAGAAGGATGAGAGAGTATGAGAGAGAAAGAAAACAATGTCGAAAGTCCGTAAAAGAGACCAAAACCGAGCAACCGTGAGGCTAATATTGTGCCGTGTGTTTGCAGAAGGTTCAAAGTGAACATATTCATTTAAGAGATGAAGAATAGAAGTTGCTGACCTGCCGCCAGCCATATACCACTGAAACGATCTCTAATTGAGCGCCTTTTGTACCTTGCAACACACCACCAAACAGGCATGATTAGTTCACTCAATGGTTTCATCTCTTATTCGTTTCATTCTATCTTTGTTTCGGTTAATTTCTTCATTCGATAACAAAATTTCTAAAAATACCCGCACGAAATGTGTCGAATAACGTGGCATGGAAATCTTTTTTTCGAAGTGGCCGGTCGGTCAATGCGAGTGTGAATGAAAAAGTGTTTTCACCGAATTCGCAGCCGTGCGATAATGTTCGTGTGTTTATGTTCACGACGGAATAGACAGCTGTGTGACCGGCAAATGGAATGGTCACCAAATTAAATTTGCCGATAGTTTAAGCTCGGTGATAGCAATGTTTTTCTGTCTTTCTTTCTATTTTTACTATCAATTCCTTGATATAGTTTAAATAGCCGTAGCAAATGCGAATGAAAACAAAACACGTTTTTTTTTCGTTCCGTTTGGCCACATATTGTTGTGATATCTTTATAATGTTGACATTATTATTTCGACCCGGGCAATCGAAATATACACACGAAGCGAAACAAAAGTTTCCTTTTCTCTTGATCTTGGGCCGGAGCGAGTGGCCACTCGAGAGAATGAGAGAGAAATGCGCTCGGTGGTTCAATGGGAGGGCAACAATTTTCGAGAGTGACAACACGACAAACGACAAAACACACAAAGAATGTGAATTTTGATTGTGAATAAAGTGTTGAAGGTGCTCGGGCATCCCATTGATGTCCATTTCAGGCGCAAAGCATAAAGCAGCTCAAGGTTTTTTTCGGGAACTACGGCTGCACCTATGTGCGTAATATACATGTTTTGTGTTGTTTGGTTCCGCTGTATTTCAATTTTGTTGGATCAGTTGTTCGCTCGGTAGTTCGGGCGCGCAAAAATCCACCACTCTTGAGAGGCGAACTGGTGCTTGAGATGGCATAGAACGACAGCCATGTGTTGGTATATGTCTTCGTGCCCTCTCTCTCTCTCTCTCTCTCTCTCTCTCTCTCTCTCTCTCTCTTTATCTGTGTGTGAGTGCGAGTTTGAAAGCGTCAAGTGAAAATTGCCATTAAATAGGGCGGCAATAACGGCATCATACAGCGCGATTGAGCTCAACAGAATTAGTCACACGTGCTCGCGTGTGCTTGTAGAATTTCGCTTTTAATGCGTAACACGAAAATGACGACAATGACAAGCAACGGAGCAAGCAACAGCAGCACCCAGTAGCAGCAAAGTGAAGCCAGAACGAAAAAGTAGCCAAGTGAATAGGATAGAGAAAGAAAAAAATTCTATATGCGAGAGCGTATATCTTCAAATGAATTGGTATGGAAAATTATTATCCACACAGTAAACTAGCGGGCCGAATGAGCGAGCGAGAGAGGGAGAGAGCAAGAGCCTCGGAAAAGCGATACAAAGTGATTTGGTGTTGTTCGAGCGAGAGAAGCGTGTTTGAAAAGTGTGTTCTCAAGAATCGAGCGATAGAAGCAAAAAAAAACACACGCCGAGAAGAAGCTAAACAAAGTGAAGGCAAGGCAAGGCAAAATCAGAGCCGAAGGCAACAACAGCATATTATAGGCTTATACCATAAACAGAGAAACATACTCTCGAGCCCGACGAATATATGTGTGCGTGTGTGTTTGTGTGTGCTTTCGCCTCAATTCGATTCGACTGGGCGAATTTCGAGTGTATTCAGTGGTGCGTATGTGCCATCATCGATAGAGCGAACGAAAAAGCGATATTTTGTATGTGTGTATCTATTTTGGAATATGGCAAAATCGTCGAACGAGCAAAAGTAACTCAGTCGGCCCACGCATTCAAATGAAAGGAAAAGTAATACACGGGGCCCCCAAGTCTCTATCACTCTCGCAACCAAACTGAAGCAACAACACACAGAATGTGAATCCAAGCAACGAATGGAACGAAAGAAAAAAAAATTGCCTGCCATTTCACTTGCTCTCACATCTCCTGACGATACGAAAATCGCGGAATCTTACTTTGTCTCGGGGCCGCGGTATGTGCACCTTTCGCGCGTTGTTTTTTTGTTGTTATTGTTTGAGCTGGGTTTTTCTTTTATTCTGCCGTTCAATGTGTATTTTTCCATATTTTAGCCGCTTTCATTTGCCTCGATTCTCTTGATTTCTTTGATCCATAAGCCGTTTCAAGCAGTTTCAATTAAGATTTTCGCTAGAATTTCATCGATTTTATCAATTCTTTCTGTGTGCATATTTTCCATCTCATTTGTGTGTGTGTGTGTGTTGTAATTGCTTAATATTTACCAAATAAGTAAATTACGCGATCATTGTTTGCATTTGTCGATAGATCCCGATTAATATCTTTCATTTGATCTGTTTTAACATTCAATCGACGAATTTGCATTGTTGAATTTTCGGATTCAAGCAAAAAAAATCGAATTTTGATTGATGCGTTTCTTACTCAAGCAAATGTATCCAATCAAAAAATCGGATCTTAACTAGATGCCATTGTCCAACGGTTCGAGTGTGCATGGCAACGCCATACATCATTTTGTCAGATAATTGGGTCGAACAGAATCAACTGAAAATGCGATCATTTGTGTAACAAAGCATACGATTATCTGGCGTATATGTGTGCGTCGCCCATTTTCCATTGTACGACATTTTCCTTTATCTCCGTTTCTGCAATTCAATTGGTGCCAAATTCGAATTTGGATTTTTCGCCGTTGGGCTGTCGTGGGCTGATTGAGCAACGGAAAATCATTCGAAATGTTTTCTCGCTTCTCGAATTCAACCTTTTGACTCTAAATTATATTTTAGTTACGTACATGCGAGCAATTGGCCGAAGACGGACCCTTTTCAAGAAATTTTGTTTCATTTGTCGCATTAGCATCAATATTTGAAATATGTTTTCAATGCTGAACGATCGCTTACCTACCAATTAAAAGAACACTTTTTGTTCTTTAAATTTATTCTGTTAAAAATTCAGAACATTTTCGTTAATTGTCACTCGCCGAACATGAACTTATTATTAGTTTCGATTCAAATGGCCAAATCAATTAGTACATTTGTAATGTGAAAAATTAACGAATTCACAATTCAAACCATTCGATTGTGGTGAGGGAAAACTTTGATGTCCGCAAACAGAAATGATGCCCAAATACACAGTCCAAAGCGACAACATTGAAACGAATAATTTGTGTTCGAAGGAGAGAAAAAAAAAATAGAATCAAAACGTTTACAGCGTCGAAATGGATGAAAATGGCAACGTATTTTGGTAATCCTTTTTTGTCGTTTATCAAATTGCATATTTCATTTTTTTTGTCGCATCCTTAAGTTCTAAACGAAATCACCACCGTCATAGGTGCTATAAAGTAACACTACTACACTAACAATATCATTTGTTTTACGCGTTAAATTCCTTTTCGTTTCATTTACAGTCGTTGAACACATGCTAAAAACTTAGGAAAAGCGTATTGATTTTAGTGTGAGTGCATTATCCATCCATACAACGTGAATGACGCTAATCATTTGGCACTTTCAACTCGGCGCTATAACGGCGTATGAAATCATCTTTATTCATATCGAATTGAAAGTTTGTCTGGTGTAAAATGAAGATTAGACTTTCTAGTTGGAGTCTCCTTCTCCCACAGAACAAAGTTTTAAACCTTTTTGTTCGTCCTGCGGAATTTTCATTCATTTTTCAGATGGTTGTCCATTCTTATCGATGTGACAAGGCTTGATGATTGATCAAACGAAAATAAAATTGGCCAAACTCTGTCGTGTGATTTTCTCCGCATTTTTCCTCTGAAGATGAGAATGTAGTTCTCGAAAATGTTTGCAATTAAAAATTGATTGTATGTAAGAAAAGGAAGTTTTTTTTTCTCAATATAAATGAAATCTGTTGAATTTAATATATCGGACGAGATTTAAAATGTTGAGATTTTAATTTGACCACATAAGAAAATTTCATAGAAAATGGAATAACTTCGTAATTGTTGTTTCGCTATTCGTTCCGTTGGTTTTTATTTCTTTAATTCATCAACAGTTTCAGTGTTGAAATTACATTTAACGAAATAAATATTGTTTGATAAGACCAAACAAATAGACAAACTCGATATGTACTCGTATTTCCATAATTGCAAATCAGTCGAATGACCATGTCTAACCCCGTAGCAGTGCTACACTTGTATATTTTCTATTTTCGTTCATACGGGCCGGGCCATCTAATTAAAACTGACATTTTTAACGAGGCACAACGGTGAACAATAACTTTTCTGCATTCAACCTATGCGCATACACACACACACACACCGATGTAAAAAAATTCTGCGATAGAACTACTGCCGTCACAGAACATATATAAATATTTCGCTAAATTTGTGGTCCTCGATTCTTGTGTGGTGGCCATTTGGCATTCTTCTCATACGTGGTCATTTTTCAAATAAATAACCTCATACTCGGCAGATTTGTAGATTTGCAGAGATTTTTAAATGTGTTACGTGATAAAAAGGAAGGAAAAAAAATGAACAGAAACGGGCGGTAAAGGGGGGAAAAATGGGAGGAAATTGGAGAGACAGAGAGATAAATCGGGAAAAATCGAGGAAAAAGAAGATAAATCGGGCCAGGGAGGGAAAAAAATAAGGAAGAGAGATAAAAAACCGAGGAAGAGAGAGAGGAATAGATAGAGAGTGATGGAGAGAACATCGTGAAAAAAAAGACAAAAATGTAGAAAATAGAAGCGACAAAAATTTGTCGAATTTTTTTTAAGAAAATACAAAAAATGCGCTTGCAAGCCTTGCATATGTGGATGGATATTTTATCTTGAGAAAATGTTTTCCAATAATTGTGTCCAAAAATAAGTATGGCAACATCAAAATTAGAGCCGTCGTTGAAGTAAAATTTGGCCAAATGTGTGATCAAAGATTTATGTCGATGTACACATGAGCATTGCAGGAAAAAACAAAACGGCAGTGAAAATTAGATCAATTTCATACAGAATGGGAAGCATTGTGAGTTGCCGTTGCTGCTGTTGAAAAGTGACGATGTAAAAAAAAAAATAGCAATTGAAGTTAATCGAAATTTTTGAACAGCCATAACACTGAACAACAAATTATGGAAATACATACAATAACTATATTTGATGAGCCATTTGGTTCAGTGTATGTGTTGCTATTGCTATTGCTGCCGCTGCTGCTGCTGTCGATTGTAATGATAACGTGTTGTGGTTCGTTGACGTCAATCGACACAATGGATATTTAAACATTTGTTGGCTACACACAGCCAGATAATCGAATTCGAATTGGTTGAACTGGTTTCTTTTTTGTATTAATGGTTTGGCAGTGGGTTTCAAAAGCGATGAGTGAAGAGAAAAAAAAGAAGAAATATGGATTTTGTTTTGAATATTAGACAAAACGGTTTAAATGGAATTGAAAGAAAGAACTTCCCCATCCCGAAAAAAAATCTCGACTACAATACTCGATACATATCGAAGTGAGCGCAAAAATCACATTCATACACTCCACGCAAACACACATGCTTTTACATGCTATGGATTTTTTTTTTCACTAATCACTAGTTCATCACACCAAACTAATCGTGGAATCGCATCAAGGGCAAGGTCAAAAGCAAGCTCTGCATAGCTTGAAAACAATGGAAACAATAACAAAAACAACAACAAAAAAACACACAGAGAGAAACCAAAACACACCGCCCCACCGTCCAACCAACCGACCAAACGAATGAACGAACAAACGGAATGAAAGCAAAACGCTGTTGTTGACAAATAATGAAGAGAAGTCGTAAAGCCAATATATCGCATTTTAAATGTGAGTACGTGCACAACAAAAGCCAAACACGACGACAACACGAAAAATAGAAGAAGTAAAACACACAACAAAAAGTAACGTGAAGACTGAAATACGGAAGAGAAGAAGAACAGAGAAAAAAAAACACACTCCGTCATTATTTCAATGTTAAAAAGAAAAAACCCAAACCATTGGAGACACAATGCGAACGCAAAACAAATGTTTTGTGTGCTTCCTTAACTGCTTCGACAATAAAGAAACGGGGTAGTTTGGCTGTTTGTTGTCGTTGTCGCTGCCGTTGCTGCTTTTCTTTTTTGCTCTGTGTGTGCGCGAGCGTCGCAAAGCATTTCAACAACGGTATTCACTTGGTTGATAGTTTATGATTGTTATGGATGATTGTGAGACACAAAATGTGTATGAATGTCGAATAGCCTTGGTCGAATACCAGCCAGCACTGAGTCGAACGAACGAAGCGCGAGAAAGAGAGACGAAGCGAGAGAGAGAAAAAAAACTAAAGCAACGACGATGCACATGGCCAATACACATTCAAATGTTATATCGCCGATGGTGGCCATTCATTACATTTTATGAGCGGGAGGCCCCCCCAGTACAACAACAACATGTAAATATGTGTTTGTCCAACTCGTGCCACTGAAAAAAATAATATATCAAAGCCATTGAAAAATGAATAAACCAACAATAAAAAAAAGTAAAATGGAAGAAGAAGCAGCAGCACAAGCAGCAGCACCACCAGCAGCAGCAGCAGAACGAAAAAAATTATAAATATATGTATATAAATGGAAAGTATACTTTGCTATAGCGCCAGAAGTAGAAATGAATTTATAAGTCTCATAATTCATGTATAACCCTTTTCGCCTATTCACGGCTCAAATATTCTTTCGATTCACATGTATGCGTGCGCGTGTGTAAGTGTGTGATTGTGTGTGTGTGTGTGTGTCACCCTCCTCAATCCGATTTATATCGTGTATTTACAATCTTTGCTTTTCCACTGTGTGCTTTCGATTCAGCCATGCTTTCTGCTCTCTCTCTCTCTCTCTCTCCCTCTCCGCTCTCTTTGTGTGTGCTTTTTCTTCTTTTTCCTCTATCTTCAAGCACCGCAATAATACACATATGTCACGGTTCATTTTCATATGTACTGGGTGATTTTCAAAACCATTACCTGCTTTAAGAAGGGAAACATAGAGTGTGGAACCGATGGAAAAGAGAGTCAACAACTAATATGAGTAGAAAACTGTTCTGAAGAAGGAGCGAAAGAGAGAGAAAGCGGAAAAAAAGCTCACGCCGTACGATTTACTTGTATTAAAACAAACATTCTTTGCTTTAACATAGCACTTCAATGTATTTTTAGCTCAACGATACAATTTTAGCATTTTCTTTTTCTATATTAATGTTTATGTTGTTCTCTAAATATATTTATATATTGTCTGGTTGTATTTCTGTTTCGATTCAAGTTGTGAGTGAATCAATTTTCAAATGAAAAATAAACATTTCTTTTCGTCTTTAAAAAAAAAAAAAGGTGGTCGTATTGAATTGGCATAACAACATTGCGAATCTGAATTCGGAATAACAACAACAAGAAGAGCAATAACACAAAAAAAAATTGATAATAAAATCATTAACAAAAAAGAACCGAATTGATAGTGTATCCGTTGTATGGTCATTCACTTATGTAAAAGTCATTTAAAACTCAATTTAAAATGAATGAGGCCAGTTAAAAGTCAATTTTGTATCGATTTTAAGTGCGTTGTTTCAATTTAGCGGCAATTTGTTGGATATCCTGTGGTCCAGTTCGGCAACAGCCACCAATCATTTTAGCACCAGCTTCCAGCCACTCATCAATATGATCGACCAATGATTGTATATCATTGCGACTGATCCAAGTTTTCGTAATTGGATCATATTGTTCGCCCGAATTTGGATACACCAATAATGGGCGATCAGTTAAACGTCGCAACGTTTTCAATGCCCCCGTCACTTTTTCCAATGCAATACAATTCACACCGATAGCCACCACTTGTGGCTGAGCATTGATTTGATCGATAATAGCCGATAGCGGTGTGCCATCACAAAGATGTTCCGTGTCACGTAGACTGAACGTTATGCATGCGGTCATTGTTGGAAATTCGGTGAGCAATTTTAATTGTGATTGCACCTCAGATACCGATGGTATGGTTTCTATGCATAAAAAGTCAACGCCAGCCTCGACTAATGCTTGTATACGTGGCCGATGATAAGCGGCAAATTCATCATGTAACAATTGATAATCGCCACGATACTCCGAACCATCGGCCAATAGAGTTGCATACGGACCCACTGAACCGGCAATCAGCAGCGTTTTCGCCTGTTTAAGCTCATTCAAATAATCAGTTCGCGCCTGTTTGGCCAATTCAACACTTTTTGCAATCAATGCAAGGGCTTGTTGTTCGTTTAGGCCACGACGTGCAAAACCAGCCACCGATGCTTGATAACTGGATGTGATGACAAAATCAGCACCCACACGGAAATAATCCAAATGCACTTGATAAATGAGTTCCGGATTTTCGAGCAATACTTTGGCCGACCATAGTTTATCGTTTAGATTACAGCCACGAACTTCGAGCTCAGTTCCCATTGCACCGTCAATCACCAGTAAACCATTGACGGCCAATAAATCCGTTAGCGGACTCGGTTTGATTTCAATTGACATGATTTTTGACGAGTGTTCAGTGTCTATTTTTTTTTTGTAACTGGTTCAGTTTGGATTTGGTTCGACTGGAAAACTTGTTTATTTTTTTTTCTTCTGTGGTTTGGCTAACTTTTCTCGACGAGCACACAGGAGCAATTTTTTTTTGTCAAATGTCGCACTTTTATTATTGCCTAAAATTAGAGAGAGAGAGAGAGATAGAGAGAGTGAAAAAAAAAATCAACTAGAAATATTACAAACGAATCAATAAAGTGGATAGAGAGAGAGAGAGAGAGGGCGAGTGAAATGGCCCACGGAATTCAAAAATTCAAATCCGACTTTTAAAAATAGCTGTCACAAAGTTGTTGTTGTTTTCGATTGGAGAAAGAATTCAATATTTATGTAATGGAGTGGAGAAAAACGAGCAATTTTTTCATATTTCCGGAGAAAAGGAGCAAGCATGGATAGCGGAGTGAAAGAGAGTGAACGAGAGTGAACGAAGGAACGACAACAACGAGCCGAGATAGAGAGTGGGAGAATTGACGAAATCAAGAATAATCCCTCTTAATAAATGATTACTGTTCAAATATGTGATTTTAATTAGACCAGAAGAATCAATACACATACTCGCTCGTTCGGCTCCTGTTCCCTATATTTTGTTGTTTCTTCTGGTGTGTCCATTGCGATTACCGTTGGAAATGAGTGATAACAAGGTTTCACTTTTTATTTTGTCGTTCATCAATCGATATTCACGGTTGTTTTGCGTGACATACATTCTTCCATATGATATGGCCACGCGTTGAGATAGCGACAAGTTTTTTTCGGTCGCTGTTGTCATTTTGTTTTTTGGAAAAAAATGGAATGAATGTTCGTACAACAAAATCGAGCCTAATAACGAAATTTACTCAAAAACCACAATGGAATATAATGAGAAATGGTCGAGTGGAAGAGGGAGAGAGAGAGAGTGCACGTGGTAGAACCGAGACCTTCGCTATGTATTCATTCACCGAAAATGACACTTAATTAAAATTGTGACGGTGGTGCGTTTAGAATACTGTTGTCCGTGTCTTCGTTTTGGATGTGATTTCGGTTTCGATTGAACGTACGCTCGAAAATAATAGGCGCTGTATTTTCTCTCTCTCTCTCTCTCTTTCCCACTACACTGAGGATGCGAAGGTATATATTGATACAACGACTTTCGGGGAGAAAAAAAAAATTATTATCATCGAAGAAGGTTACCGTCATAGGGTTGTGTGCTGTTGTCGTCGCCGCCGCCGTTGGTGCTATTTGGTGGATTCGGAACGTGAGAAAGTAGCACGTGTTGTTGGTAAAGAGACATGAAACACCGGACAATTTAAAGTGTATTACACAACCTAAACACAAATGTGCAACGTGCCGCTTATTTATTGAGGAAAATTGCTCGCTCCACGCTTCATTCGTTGTGCCTCAAATCAAACCAAAAGCGAATAAGCACACTATACCACCGATACACACCGAAATGCAAATCAATTTCAATCAAACCAGTATCGTTTCTACAACATTCTAAATTTTCTTCGGAATTTTTCTATTGAACATTCTTCTCAGAGCCAATGACTTCATCAACTCAACTCTTTGGCTTCTTTTTTCAACTGCTTCGTTAAATGCACTTGAAAATTTTCTTTTGAAATATAACGGGATGGTTTGTATTGTCTCGTCGAGTATGTGTATGTGTGTGTGTGTATTTTGACAGTTGCCACCGTAAAGTTCTGTGCATTCCAAACGTTGTGTAATTTTACTGTTGTGCGATTTCACGTTATCTCACAAACTCTTTTTTTCTATTATTATTTGCTCCGGCTCTTTTTTTCTCTAGATTTCTTTCTCCAATTTTTTTTCTCCCCTTTTTGCTAAACACTATTTCTCCTAATCAGATCAATGGCAAACAAAAGTAACGAACAAACGAAAAATATTCCATGTCACAGGAACAGTGCTTGAGTATACTTACTATCTCGGCTAAGTTGCGCGAGTTGCTTGAAAGAGACAGAGACAGAGTTTAGACGACGACGACGACGACGACGACAACAAAAAAAATATATTCCGTCGTTTGTTGTACAATACGTCCAAAAGTGACCTTTTTGACAGTCAACCGATTGACTGCTGAATGTGGCTGCGTACACAAATTCGCTCTTTTCTTTTCTCTTTCTTCGGAACGTACAATATACCCGTTCACAATGTGTCTGTTTTTGATTTTGGCTAAATACAAAAAAAAAAGAAGAAGAAATGCACGTCTCGTATTGATGTGCGCACAACGCTCTCACTTTGACTACTGCATATAATTTCGGGAAAAAATACCGATCAAGCAACATTTCTTCAAAAGATAAACAAACACACCGACAGACAGACAGACACACACACACGAACAAACCTAATCACATCTATATAATCAAAAGTCACCATTGTGAACGATACATTGTCAAATACAACAAATGTACGCAGCCAATTATGGTTGCTTCATATATTTCGTCGATTTTTTTTCTTCTTCTTCTTCTTCTTCTTCCTTCAAATGCCACTTTTTTCAGATGAATTGCAGTTGCTCTTTTTTTTGCTTCAGAAAAAAACCAAGCTCGCAAATTTCTCATTGTAAAACAATTGAAATAAACAGTACAGCTGTTGATATTGAAACAAAAAATAAATGGTATGCGGCGTCATTTCACATTTCTCTTATTTTTTTTTCGTTCGTTGATACGACATATCACATTCGACACACAGAGATTACGTATACCATACACCAAACAAGACTTCCGATACCCATGTCGACTGTGTGTATTTGAATTTTTGCGCGCATGCCCTGAACGCTTGAACGCGCGCACGCGTTCGCATTCATTTTAATCTCTGTGCAGTGATCGTATGGTGCGCTTTGCTCACAGCGATTCGTGCGCAATAAAGAAATGGAAAGGAAAAATAATTTCAAATTCTAACGTCATATCTCATACATTTGTTTTTTCAATTACGATTTACAATACACTGAATTATGGGTTTTCTTTCTCTGTCTGTTGACAATTTTTTTTTTTTTTGCTTTATTCTTTCAATTGTTTTACTTCAATTTTTAATTTGTCTGATTAGAAGGAAATTTTTATGTTTTGTAAATAACGGGGCGCGATAAAAGATAACAAAAGCGCTATTGACTTGTGTGCGCAAGTGCAAATGAATGTTCTTTTATATATACAAACACACACACACACACACTGAGTGGAGAAATCGGAATGCATTGAGCACTACTTTATGAAATGCTCATCATCATGTAAAATGCGAACAAACAAAAAAGCGTACACACACGAAGAAGAACGAACACGAAAAATGAGAAAAACCATACCACATTGAATAATCGAATGAGGCGAACGAGTTGCATGAGTAATAATTCATTGATCAGATCAAATTGTTGCATTCGAGCGAACACAAATTTGGACAAATCTCTTGGTTGGTTGTTGTGTGTCGGATTTGGCTGAGCCAAAAATTCATGTGGCTGACGTAGTTCCAATACCAAAATCCGCTCTGCTAAAAATTAAAAAACGAAACCGACTAATTTGCTCATAATGATATGACGATGCGAGGGAAGGCAAGGGAAAAAAACAGAAGGCGACTAACAAATCGGTTCGCACTCCATCAAATGCCATAGACTGTACCGTTTTTTTTTCTCGTTCAGTTCGTTCGTTCTCTCTCTCTCCCCGTGTGTGTGTGTGTGTGTGTGTGTGTACCTGCAGAATGCGCCTTTTGAAGCCAAACACACACACACACACACGTACGTACGTAGGCCAAGAGACGCTTTCAACAAGCACTGATTGTTATAAAGTAATTAAGTTTAATGACGTGGAAATTAGTTGATCGGCATTTATATACGGGTACATGAGTACTCTTGTTTAGTTTGTACCGCTGTCGGCAGCCGCCATCAACGACGATGACGACGATAGACAGATATTCGCATACACGAAATACGTGTGTCAACCCTTTTTTTCTCGCTCTCGCTCTCTCTCTCTCTCGAACCGTTGTTTTAGTGTCAATATTACTCGGTGTGTCGAATCGAATCACAGGCGCAAACAAAACACAATAGACGTGTACACATATGGGCCACATCCGATGAAATAGATACAGACACACACACACACACACACACATATATATATAAGCACGAACAGGAGGTGAAAGTGGAACGGGAACAGGAGGTCGAGCCATTGGAGGTAGAGTGAAAGTCATCACTCTGTCAATTGACAATACATGCGTTCAAGTGATATTCGAACGCATCCGTTTTTTCAAACATGTGTAATCGGGTTGGGTTGCACGCGCGCGAGCGAGCGCGCTGGGGGAGTGAGGAATATGGTAGAAAATGTGTTCAATCGGTTTTTACAGTGGCAAAATGATGATGATGATGCGTTCCGTTGACGAGGATGATATGGAAATCGGTCGAAGCAGTTAGAGACAACAGCGACAACGACAACAACAACCGCAAAAGCGTTTTTCTTTTTCACTTTGTATAAATTTGATAATGAATTTATTGAAGCTTCAATAACTTGTTGGTATGCGTTCTGTAATGAATAAATTCGCATAAAGAATTTATGTGCCACGAATGAGCGAACAACGAAAGAGCAACAGCATCGTCATCAACAGTAGCAGCAGTGAGACGACACCGAATAACGTGTGTGACAGAAAGAGAAGAGAAAAAAAGCTGTCGGGAAAAAAGCAAAATGCGGATGAATTGAGCTTAAACTAATTAGAAATTATTAGGTAGTATCAAACGCACAGGTCACTGGCTGGCACAACAAGCAAGCAAGCGAACCAGCGCACACACACACACACACACATTTTCGCAGACGTACGCAAAATGCGAAGCTTTGAACGATAACCAAATGTTAGTGGTAGTGTGTGTGTGTGTGCGCGCGATTGAAAATTTTCACTGAACCCAAAAATGATCAAATAAATGTTTCGACATAAGGATTTCTAGTGTATGGTTAAGAAAAATGCGGTCGAATTAATTAAGTATGATGTGAGGTTTTTTTTCGTATTTGGGATACGCACACACTGCTCTGCAGAATATCTGTATATTTCCAAAGGTGTATAGCATAGGTCGTTGATGTTGTTTTTCGGTGCGTTTGCGATAGAAACAAAGATGAATTTGATATTACAGCATTTTTTTCTATTGATTTAAATCAAGAAAATTTGGTTTGGTTGCTTCATGTCGACCGATGAGACGTACATAGATGACGAAAGAACGATGATAGAGATGAGAAAGAGCCATCGAGCGAGTGAGCGAGTGAGTGAGGGAAACGAACTGAAGTTAATAATATTATCGGCTCCTCCGACTTGAATGAAAACGAATGGAAATGTTGCAAATTATGGAAAATCACAATCATTATCATCAGATTAAAATCATATTCCTCCTACATTTCGTTGTACTCACTCTCCTCTCTCGACATCGTTGTTTTTTTTATCTTCGACATCTCTAACAGAAAACCAGAGAAAATTGAGAATGGGAGGAAGGAGCTAGAAATTTAGTACTAATGCCTCTCTTTCTCTCGCACTCTCTCTCTCTCTCGCACTCTCTCTCTCTCTCTCTATGGATATACAGAAAACAACGAAACAATTAAACAACACAATTATACGAAGAAAACAACCACTGAAAATTGATCCAGCCGAATGAAGTTTATTGTCGATTTTTTGTTTGTTTCTTTTGCCCAAAAATAAGAATTAATGCGATTTTTTCTCTCCAAGTCTTTCTCATTGGATTTTGATATTTATTGCGAAGGTGGATAAATTTGCGTGCAATGTTTTTCAAAATGTCTAAGAAGTGTCTTCTCAGTGTGCTGTTTATTTGGCTGCACGGAATTAGCAGCGTGATGGAGTATTTGAGAGAAAAACAAATGCTGAACCAATTAAACCGATTTTATGACGGAGTATTTCAACGACAAGAAGCCGAACACCACGCATTACGCTTGCTACGATCCAACAGATTCTAACCATTCCGCATGCTCGCCAAAAATTATTTTGGATTCGTCTTCATTGTGTTTAATTCTCAAGCTAATTTAGAAATGTTAAGTGGTATTTGATTTTTGATTCGTAATTTGATTTATGCATCGAAGTTGGTGGTAAAAGAAGGAGGAAAAGACGGCGATTTATTTTCTCTTCTTCGTTTTATTTATATCGCATTACCAATATAAAAAAAAACGATTATCACAAAATTCAAGTGTTTTCGGTTTCGCTGTTTCAAAATACGGAAATCTGTTCTGGAAAAATCAAAATCGAAAATCGCGCATCATCTTCATGTTGAAACAAAAAACAAAATACCTTCTCATAAATCCTATTCGGTTGTTATTTTTGTTTTTCTGTTCACACGTGTTTTTTCTTTCTTTATTTGTAAAAGACAGCGAGAGTTAACTTATATACGTGGCAGTTGGAGAGAATTGGAATGAATTCGATTTAACCGTGGCAAAAAGGATTTCGAAATGTCCTTCGATCCAAAGCATTGCGTTTTAAAGGAATTAAGTTTTCCAGTCAGGCGGACTGTGAATAAATTACCACGTGAGCCTCCGATTGAACGAAGAAAACAGAAAGCAACAACAAATGAAAAAACCGACTTTGGATTCGGTTAAATATGGTGTAGATAAAAGTAAACAACATTTCCTGTGTGTATGTGTGACTTATTTATTCGTATTTCACTTGTTTCTTCTTCAATGCACGTATACACAAACATAGTCACATAGAGGATAGAGACAGAACACCGTGCACACCACTTTCGAGCAAGAAACATTGAGTTTGATGTGATATGTATGCCGTGTGTTCGTTCGTGTCTCAATTACACATGTTACAATGTAAACGAGGAAAAACTCGTGCGGAATGGAAAACCGACAAATAACTCAATGAACGGGATGAATAGCATTGCGCTGTGGCACACAATGTATTGAAATATCCATGCATGTGTTATTAGTTTTAGTTATTGTAGCGAGAATGAGAGAGAGAGAGAGAGAGAGAGAGAGGGAACGAGGCAGGGAGGGAGCGTCAGCAGAAGCAACGGTAATTGCTGTAATTGAGCTC